AAAATGACTGGTTATTAGAACTGTGGTGATACTAGATACTGGAACATGTGAGCATCAGTGTGTGACCATGCGAACAAAAATTATTTTTTAGGGAGTTTTTTAAAGGCTTGTGTAGCAATGATGTAAAAGATTTACTGTGGAATCTAGCCCACTTTCAGGGTTAGGACCAGGTTCTAACTATCTAAAAATATTGACTGATAACAGAAAGTATTCCAAATGTAGCTATTCTGATCCATAGTTTTTGTAAAAAAAAAAAAGTATTTACAGAAAGAGTATAAAAGTTTTTGTGAATTTAATGCAAGATAACTTTCAATCTTCACTACCCAACTGCTTGATTTATGGTTTTGGTTCCTTTGCCTATTTTCCTTCTAATTTCAAGCTTTGTGATTTTACCTTCAAAACAGACCAAAATGTTAAATGGTGAAAGGTATTCAACATATTCAGAATTAAAACATAACATTTTTTAAATTAGTTAGTTAGGCTGGGAATTGGTGGCACATGCCTGTAATCCTAGCTACTCAGAATATCAGTTTGAAGCCAGATCAGACAGGAAAGTCCTGGAGACTCTATCTTCAGCAAAAAGCTGGAAGTGGAGCTACGGCTCCAATGGTACAGCACTAGCCTTGAGCAAAAAACTAAGGAACAGCCCCCAGGCTGCGTTTAAGCCCTAGTACTGGCACACACCTGTGCACAAATACACACACACACACACAGAGCGCTAAAGTTAATGCAATTCTACTCTTTGGAGTCTGGTTAGCTAAATGAATCCTGTGTTCTTATTGAATAAAAATATTCTTTGGAATCAATTTAGCTAAATGACGCTGTTGTTGGGTGATGAGAAATGCATACCATTTGACTTTGTAAGGATAAGATTTATTCAGGATGCTTGGACTGGGGATGGATTCCAAGCCATCATTGGCTGGGACATACATACAAGGTGGGATGTAATATCCAATCCAAAGTCATAAAGGGGAAGTAAAACAAAAACAATGACAATAACAACAAAAGAGTTCAGTTCAGAACAGTGACAGCTTAACAATGTGAAATTTTCCTCAAGTGTATGGGTATTAAATTAGTACTGCTGAAACATGACATTGAGGATTCATCATGACACCTGGTAGTTCTTGCTAGTGTACATATAAATAGAATCATGGAAGCCTTCCATATTATCTAATTGATGGACAGCCTATCTAATTGATTTAATGAGCCAAAAAATTAAAATGGTATCTCCATTCCATATTCCATCCTTATCTCTAAACAAAACCTATGGTTGTTTTCAAGGCAGACCTAAGGGTTCAGGTTTCTTAAGCCACACTCAAGGAAATCATCTCAACTTTGGATGTTATCTCTCATCATCTGGTACATGAAACTCCAGCAGATTCAATATTGACATTCATCCTCTGTCAAACCCTTCACATGTTCTTCAAAACAATCAAATTTGGAATTCTCAACCCTTTCTGTGTCCAGGAAATAAGCTGTGGAATCAGTTGATTTGATGCAGACATTTTTCTTCCTTGCCACTTTGGACTTCTAGTTGCCATTTGTGTTGGGTGGAGAAGATGGGGAAGTAGAGACGTTGCTTGGCCTGAGTCTCTAACAGTAGAGATGTAGAAGAGAGAGCGAAACCACAAGAAGACCGGCTGTCGACTGCAGGGTACTACCGCCTCCCCTGGTGGTGGTAATGGTTGAATTTGGGGCAGCCGTGGTACTCTGGGAGGAGTTAGTTGAAAATGGCACCACTGTTTGGTTTGAATAAATCTAAAATACATTAAAAAGAAAGTTACATATAACATGCCCACTGATGTCACAGCTGCCTCCACCTACACTTTAATATGACAGAAGGTAATTTCTTTTTATTTGCAATGATTGCTATGGAACACAGGACTTCGGTCTCACTAAGTACAACCTCTACCAATAGAGCGAAACTTCTCACCCATGACAAATTAGCAAGATCACCTTTTTTCAAACAACAGGATTTTTTTTTCTTTGTTGCTATTTTTGCTTTTTTTTCTTTTTGTCTTCTTTGTTCATTTGTCTCTTTGGGAGGGTAAGGGGACATAGCAATAGTGAAACAAAGAGTGAGCAAATACAGCAGTGGTACTCGCTAGACACTATGTTGAAAATTAACTCTAACTTGTGGGTGGGGATGAAAGGGAAAAAAACTGAGAAAGCCAGGGAAGAGGTGATATTGTCCAAAAGGAAATGTACTCTACCTGATTTATGTAACTGTAAACCCTCTGTACATCTTTATAATAATAAAAATAAAAGTAAAAAAAGATTGCCTTTTTTTCTCCCCTGATCTCTTATATTATTAAATTCCAAATTTTTTGCTCATTCTTACCAAGTTATTCTCTTTAGTTTCCAAACTACCTATAAACTAGGGCCACTGGCTCACACCTATAATCCCAGCTACTCAAGAGGCTGAGATCTCAGGACCTTGGTCCAAAGCCAGCCCCACAGACAAATCCACTAGACTCTCATCTCCTATTAACCAGCAAATGGCCAGAAGTGAAAGCGTGGCTCAAGTGATAGAGCACCAGCTGAGAATGGAAAAGGTCCAGTGAGAGTTCAAAGACCTGAATTCAAGGCCCAGTACTGATGCATGCGTGTGTGTGTGTGTGCACACGTGCGTGCATGCACACACACACACACTAGACATACTTATACAATGCAAAAAGCAACAAAAACAACAAAAAAAGTTCTTCAAGCTATACATCTCCCCTGAGCATGACTATTTTGACTGCCGTGCAGAGGAGCTCAACTTTAAAATATTGCCATTGAAAAGCAGAAGTGGTGCTGTGGCTCCAGTGGTAGAGCGCTAGCCTTGAGCTGAAGAGCTGAGGGACAGTGCCCAGGCCCAGAGTTCAGGCCCCATGACCCTACCGTCCCCCCCCCAAAAAAAAAGAAATAAAAAGAAAATATTGCCATTGAGATTCACTGTGATAGAATTGGGTCATTGTACACTACATGTACACAAACTATTTTCACACAGCCTGGCTAATTCACGTTGGCCTTAAACAGTTGCAGAGAGACACACACAAAAACAACATTGAGTATCTTATTCCCTGCTTTGGAATTATAATCATAGCCCTTCTCAAAATTGGCCACACGATTTGCTTTAAACTGGGCGAGTGGGGGAATTAACCCTTGCCTGAAGGACTTCACAAAAGACAGACACCTAGAGGGTTTGGTGTTCAATTTCACCGGCAGCAGACTCACTGCCAGGTCACTAGCTCAGAGACGTGGCAAAGAACCAACGTTCTCTCAGTGTACCAGCATTGGAGTGGCATAATATTCACTACGGATTTTCCGAGCCACCAAATGCACAGTCCAGTGGGGCACGTGATAATCTCTCCTTTGTCAGGGAACAAAGGCAGATCGGGAGTTTTCGGCTCTCTCTGCCAGGGAGGATTTCCAAGGGCTTCTGATTACGGGCACCAGCGGGAGGGAGGGAGAGAGGGCGACGTGGCACCAAACAAGAGTCTAGGCCACACGTACATTAGGCTGCCTTTTAATCCAAAGATAAAACCCTCTCAATCAGGGCTGGCTCCTTTTGTTGTGACAGCCGAAAGGCCAAGGAGTAAATATTGACCCCACCCCACCCCTCAAAAAGTACTAACTGTAGCTACAGTGAACTAACCACGACAAAATTTTGGATCCAGTTAAATCCGTTTATTGGGCACCTCCTGTGTACCACTCAGCCTGTCTATCAAGAAATCTCACTCTGACCAAAAAGAAAAAAAAAAAGGAGGGGGAGGGGGAAAGCATTAACATGGTAAACTCCTGAACACAGGATCTGTTTGAGATCCCCGCATGCAATCTGCTCTTTCTTCATACAAAGAGATTGAGCACAGTGGGCGAGGTTTTTTTTTTTTTCTTCTTTAAATAGAACCCAGGGCATCAATCTGAACATCTAAGGGTCCTGTTGAGACATTCTGAATAACCACCAAAAAAAAAAAAAAGCTCATCTATTAAATTGACATTAAACGAAAAATTGTCCTACCAAACTAGCTCTATTCACTTCGCTATAATGTCCCCTCTTGCAGTGTTCGGTCGGGGGGGGGGACTCCTGGAGGAGGTGGACGCGGGTTGGGGGGGGGGACGAGTCGGTTTCAGGCGGTCGTGCCCCTCCCCCACGGGGAGTGGAGAGAGGATGGGGAGCGCAGCGCACCCGCAGCCAGACAATAGGGCAGAGTGGCCCGGCCCGCGGTGGAAAGGCAGGCGAAGGGCGCTCCCCGCTCCCGGGTGAGCCTGGAAGCTGGGCGTCTGGAGACCACAGACCCAGAGCGCCCAACTGTTCACAGGAAGCCTCTGGGACGCTCCTAGAAAATGCGATGGGAAGAGGGGTGGCCAGCCCGCCCCCCGGCTTGGCTCCCCTTCGCCTACGCCCGGGTCCCGCTGGGCCCCCCTCGGCTCAGCGCCGGGTCTCCGTCTGGACGTCCCCTCCTGGCTGCGCAATGCTTCTCCGCGTGCCCAGAGCGAGGGGCGAGGCCGGTTCTCCGGACAGAGGACCCGGGGAGGAGGCGCCGGTGGCGGGGACGAGGGACAAAGCCTGGAGGGGTCTCGGGACAGAAACGTCTCCCCACGTCCCACTCAATCTGGGCTAAAGCAGGGGTTCACGGGGCAAGGGTGCAAAAGGTCGCTCCGCGGACAGCGCGGCGCCGCGAGAGGGTCCCTCCTCAGGCTTGAGCCCCGAGTCTCTCGGGACAGGGGTGGGAGGTAGGGCAGACATCTGGGGCTTCCTCGGGACCCCCTCCCCAACCACTTCGACAGTAGAGGATGGGCGTGATCGACGCTCCCCAAAGAGGACCGTCCCCTCTCTTTGTGTGGTGCTGCGCTGGGAGCGCGCAGGCTCTCCGTGGGAGGGGAGGGGGCAGCTCACACGAGGGACTGACACGAGGGGTTCGCGTGGCCCCCCGTGTGGTCAGGTGATACAAATGCCCCCTTCCAGTGCCAGGGCTTGTCTGGAGGTAGGGGCTCACCACCTCCACGCTCCCAAGGGCGCGGCCCCCCGACCCCCAGCCGCCAGGACCTCACCTGCGTGGGTAGGAGCAGTGCCAGAAGCAACAGCCCCAGCCCCAGCCTGGCCACCATCGCTCTGCCCATGTCCGCTCCGTCGGTGCGCGGTGCGTCCCGCTGGCTGCTGAGGTGCGTGCAGATGGCGTGGAGACGGGGTGGCTCGGGCGGGCGCAAACGAGGTGGGGAGCGCGGCGGGCCAGCGGGACTTTATATACCCGGACGGCCACAATAG